TTCTTGTATGGGTAACGCGATCCAGCGTCTCTGGCACGTCGTTTGGTTGTTGGACAGCCGACTCTAATTTTTGTTGTTTAGCGTGATCGGAATCTAGCTCTGGGCCCGTCCTCTTTCCTGCTCGAGGGACTAGCAATCAAAGACGAAGTAAGTTATGGTGCTCCCTACATAAATAACATGGGGACTTACAGAGGTTCGCACTTTCTGGGTCGTGAGCATCGGAGTCACTGATGACGACAGAGTTAACCCGTCGGATTGGAGTTGCAGTGGATAGCAATGCAGAGAATAGGTATGCGGCCATGAGACCACGCATAAGGAGCACCATTGTGTTGACAATTGATTAATTGAAGTGTTCGGTGGGAACTGGAGTGTTTCTTTGGCGCTTTCTGACCAGCAGAATCTGGGAACAATTTACAGGTGAGTCGTTGACATAGTTATATCTTTCTGGTAGATAGTCATATCCCCGTTCGATAAAGCCTTGGATATGCTTGGCATATAGATTCTGTAACAATTGATATAGGTGAGGCAGATGCGAACGAAACAAGAGATGGTTGCGCACAGTGTGTCCGCCGTCGGGACTCTCTTCCCAATCTCTTCCTCCTTTTGCTCCGTCTATGCATACATTTATGCCAAGGTCCCGAATGAGGCGCCGACAGTCCTTGCAACAGTCGGTCCATCTCAGGTTCATGTTTTGCGGGAGTGGCAATCAAATGAGGAATGATATCTCCGGCACATGGACAGTGTAAGAGGTTGGATCCAGGTCCTTAACGTATATCTAGCGTTGGAGCCCATTGCTATAGCGATCGGATATGGTGTAACGGCTAACATTGCCGCCTCTCACTTCCGGAGCGCGGCAGCTCGGGGTTCGATTCCCCGTATCCGAATTTTTTATGACTTTAGACGTCAATAAGAGGGCGAACGCTGGTGGTCTACAGCTGGGCGTCATTAAGTAGCAGGTTAATTAATAAGCTCCCCTGAATGTTGTTAACTACGCTCTTGTTCAACGCCATGTCGCATAGGCGTATGGCCATCTTGAAAACACGAATAATGTCAATCTTGGGAGCTCTAAGGCTTACTGTGTACATGTGCTACGTTAACGTTCGAGCAACGTTGAAGGATGACGTGGAAATACATAGGTCGCGTAGAGAGAATTTGGATTTAGATATGGCAGGCGGCGTACTCTTGAAAGTGCAGTTGAACTCCTTCGTGATGTTGAAGGCTTGAAGCAGCTTTCCAGCTTCAATTCAGAGGCGCGCCTGCGTTTTCCCTGTAGATGTAACGTTCTTCATCACCAAGACGCGTTTTGGATTTCTTGTCTAATTAGGATATAAATACCACCAAATCACTGTCCGCTTTTCAGAGCAGGAAACGATGAGGATTGAGATGCGAACGTCACAGGCCATGTTAGAATTTTGAGTCTCAGATCCCCCGGTGGTCAGCGACTGCACCTGAAGTGGAGATGGAGGACTCCCTTGATGGTGCATTCTCTTGGTCCCATTCGACGTTGGTAATGATTCTTCGAAAATACATTATATCGGCTTCCGTTAACCCCTTGCAATTTGTCAGTTGCAGATTTTCAAGCGGTAGACCGGCCTCTTTTCGTAGCTTGAAGCAATTTTTCAAGGATTTCAGGCGCTCGTCAAGCTCTTCGTTATACAGGTCCCAGCCACGGATCACAAAGTCGGTGAGGTTTAGAAATGTTGGAGGAACATTGGAACCAGGAGCCAATCCGAATGAAAGGACTTGCATTACAGACTGTGGATGAAGTGAATCATCATCGACCTGGATCCGTTTAAGATTGGGCAACCTGGCGAAAAGCAACCATTCATGCGCGATCTTCACTGATGAGACGGCCAAAGATATCAATTGTTCCAAGGACAATCCTTCCATCAAATATCGCAGATTGAAATATTTGCGCATCACAATGGAGGGATATTTATTGGCATCTGTCGCGACCGAGTAACTCGTGGGTACGATGTTGATTCCGCTGAAGGAATACCGCATGATATCAAGATTTACAATCGGAGTATCCACGCCCTCGTCAATTCGATGAGCTAAGGTATGCATGAACGAAATGAGAGTTGGCTGGTCCACTTCGTCGATCGGAGAAGGACAGATGTCGATATCAATCAACCAAGGAGCCTTGGCGAACTTGATATGGTCCAAGAGCAGAACCCAGTCGGATAGAGCAGCAGAAATCTTGAGGTCACGAAGATACCGTAGGATTAAGGGTCTCATTGGTCGAAGTGCTTCACGATCTGAAGCGTTTGATGGTTGAATACCCCATGCCTCCAAATGCTCCAAGAAGGGTGTGTGCTGAAGGATCATCAAGATATGGGATATCGACACCTGGGATGAGTCTGGAAGATCATGGATATCAAGGAATCTGAGGCTTTCCAAACGAAGGCGGTCCCATGCAATGTTACATTTGTGGAGCCTCAAGTGACGAAGCCGAGGTAAACCTGTAGTCATCTCAACTGGTGCCTGCACATTTATTTTTTCGTTCGGGTGCTCCCCAATAAAAAATATCTCCAAGCGTTCCAATATCGGTGCAGTTGTCAGCAGCGTTGCCAGAAGCGTCTGAAAAGTTCCGACCACATCAGATTTGGTCCTGTAGGAGTGGTAATGGGATGCATCCAACTCAAGGACAAGAGTCTTGATGCGGTGTGAATGCGAAGAGACAAGTTCTCCTAAAACTCCGATGGATGTGAATACTGTCTTGATGTACGTCGACATGCCAGATGCTACGTTTGCACCATAGACAATTGTTAAGGGCGCTTGCTTTGACCGCTCAATCATTTCCATCGTCCAAGGGCTGTCTTCTACAACAATGTGGGCCCATAAGCTGGGTGCTGACATTGCCACCTTGCGCCAGTGAGAACAGACCTGGGTCACCTTCTTGAGGAACCCCAGGCGCCACGCAGTGTCAAACTTGTACTCCATCTCGAAAGAATTATTGACGACTTCGTGGAAGATAACAAGCAGGATCTCTGCAGGAAGTCGACTTGTATCGGTGAGAGCATTATGACGCCCCTTATAGTAATGGAGGATCTCTTCATATTTCGAGATCATCTCCCGAGCATGAGCACGAGCGACAGCTCGACTTGTCGAGGTTGAGAAAGGCCCTCTAAGCTTGGGATCGGAGAACTCTGGATCTGAGCCTACGTCGAGTCTTTCATCAGATTGAAAAAGATTCCAAAGATAAGTACCTTGCATTGCCTGTTATGTGGAGGACGACGTTCCAGTTGACGTGGAGGTTCGTGTTGAACTTAAATAACGTTACTCGTGGCTGTGCCAATATCCTTTCTCAATTTGTATATAACGAATTTGTAGAGTATCATATTTAGAGCTCTCACTGCGATCTCATTGACGAAAAGAAAGGATTGTATGTAGCACCAACGTCGATGCTCGCCGGGACGAGAAAACTACTATCATTCATTGCCCGTCGTAATTGACATTCTCGACGACAGTGCGCATCCTCACTACATCTGCCTGGGTAAAATTGGAGCAATTTTCTAGATCCAACGTCTCCAGCGGCACGCCAGCCTTTTTCCTGAGCGTGAGCGTCTTCTTCATCACCAATTTAAGGCGCGTTTTAGGTTTCTGGCCTACTTGGTAAAAAGACCACCCAATCACTGTCAGCCTCTTCAAAGCAGGAAAAAATGGGGGTTGAGATGCGGTGGTCAGTCGACGTTGGAGCAACTGCATCAGCTGAAACCCACTCGAATCAGCCCTTATGTGAGTCAGATTTGGTAGGTTGCTGAAAAGAAGCCAAGCCGCCGGCGTAACAGGCCTTTTGACATCGAGAAATGATAGCTGATTCAAGCATAACGCTTCCAGAAATGATGTTCTTGCCTCACGAGGTAACTCGATTTTGTAGAGCTTTACAGAGATAGTCATCCCGGAAGACAAGTCACTGGCAGGAGCGGCTGTACCGGATTCGTCAAAGGTCAATGTTGACCCTTCGCCCGCGGAGAAGAAATGTGCACCGTCCGCGATACGAACCTTCTGAATCGGAAGGGGCAAGGTATTATTGAGCTTTTGAGCCAATTTTTGGTAACA